CGGGGGCGTCGCTGCGGTTCCCAGGCCGCCGGGCGTCCTGGGGAGGCCGAGCTCCTCGGAGGCCGGAGGGGAAGGCGGTTCTGCATGTGTGCCTTCCAGTTCGTCCGGAATCTGCCTCCACAGAGTCTCTGCCCTCTTCGTTATTTTCTCTGCATTGCTGTGCTTGCTCGACCCTCCGGGCTGCCGGTTCCAAGCCGTTCTCTCGCGTTATCCCTTATTCCATTCTGGCCCGGTCCGTCTTCTTGTTGTCAGGATCTCCTTGGGTGGCCAGAAGGTGCTGGACTCAGATAGCCAAGTAAGGTCCAGCCCCGAGGAGTCCTGAGCCTTCGGGGCTCGGAGATGAGAGCCCGCTGGACAGCGCATGGACTGCGGAGGCCGAGTTTCCTCCTTCGCCCTCGGGACCCTGTCCGCTTCCATCCCCCACCCTCGAATGCGGCAAACCGTAGGAGGGGGAGGAGACAGAGGCGGCCCAGTTGTAGGGGAAATTCCCACGTACACTTAAGGGCGCCCCCTCTGCTCTTCTAGGTGGGCTCAAGGGCTAGCTCCAGCTGCGGGGCGGGGCGGGGCGGGGCGGGGGCGCGGAGTCTCCGCAAAACGCCCAGATCCTCCTTTTTTTGGGTTGGGGTGACCCCTGGTGGTCATTCGGAGTCCCACAAAGGCACCTGAAGAGCACAGAATTCAACCCCACGGGATGGGGAGAGGTGGAGAATTATAGGGGGTGGCCCAGGTGGTGTCAAGTGGAGTTAAAGACCCATCCTCCTGAAGTTGGCTCTGAGAGTGACAGAGGCCTCCTTGCCTGGCCAAGAGACTCCGCAGCCTGGAGATTCCTGTGGAATTTTATTAAGTGAGGCTGTGCCCCTTACACAGGTCTGTTCCTGCTTCCCGTATCCTTGTCGCTGGAGGTGTCAGTGGGGAAGGCCACCACCATCTACGCTGTCAATGGTACGGAGATCCTACTGCCCTGCACCTTCTCCAGCTGCTTTGGCTTTGAGGACCTCCGCTTCTGGTGGTCCTACAATAGCAGTGATACGTTCAGAACTGTAAGTCGTGGCGAGAGGGTCAGGGCAGCCCAAATCCTCACTCCCTCCTCTGTCTCTTTCCCATGCAAGCCTCCCATTCCAAGTTCTGGCCCCTTCTGGCAGAGCCCCTTTGTGATGGCCCCCAGAACCCACCTTCTGATACCCTATCTGCAAGTATTTCTTCCAGACAGGCTTTGAGTGGGAGGGATGCTTAGGTAGTGTTGCCAGAACTTGGGGCCTGTTGGAATTCTTGGCTAGTGTCCTCTGTCTGGTCTTAGGAAATACCTGGAACTTGGATTGATTGTGTGAAAATTAATAGTTGATTTTGTTTTTGGTGGTACCAGGGATTGAACTTGGAACCTTGCATTGTGAGGCAGGCCGTGGAACCACTGAGCCAAATCCCTGGCCCACTGAAAATTAATAGTTTAATGGAACAAAGAAGAGCGAGGATCACTGGGAGGGTTAAACAGGAGACAGGTTAGACTGGAGACAGAATGAGGAGACTGAATGAGGGAAGGGAAGAGAGGTTGGACTTGGAAGAAGGAGACAGGCAGTAGGAGAGGAGCAGGGTGGCTGCAAGAGCAGCATGGGGTAGGGCAGAGTGGGGGTGAGTCAGCCAACAGGTGTGAACTGAGTTCTCTGCAACCCAGCAGAGGTCTGCTCTCAGGTAACACAAAGAAGTCATAGAGTCCAAGCTGTGCTGGGGTGGAGTTAAACTCAGACCTCTTAGGGTGCTGATGGGCAGAACTGCAGCATTGATTCAGGTCTAGATTGAGGGCTAGAATTAAGTCAGGGAGGTGACATGCTGGGTGTCATCAGAAATGCTGGGTGGAAAGTAGAGGGAAGGAAGCCCATGTGGTATTTGCAGGTAATTATGTAAAAGGCTTTTACAAAGAGAACATTAAGAAGCATGCTGCATTCCAGGGGACCTTACTAAAAGGAGCTGGGCAAAATTCAGGTTATCCAGGGCAGCTGTTGACATTGGCAGAGGAAACCAGTGGGGACCAGGCTCCTCACACTGCAGGCTCTTCCTGGACCCAGACAAGACAGGCACCGTGCAGGGGCTGAAGAGGTGTCATGACCCATGGCCACTCTCATTCTCTCCTGCCTACCTCCCAGCTTATAGAAGGGATCGTGAAGAATGATAAGTCTGATCCCAAGTTGAAGTTAAAAGATGATGACCGAATCACTCTGGTGGGCACAACTAAGGAGAAGCGGAACAACATATCCATTCTGCTGAGGGACCTGGAGTTCAGCGACTCGGGCAAATATACCTGTCGTGTGAGGAACCCCAAGGAGAAGGACTTCGAGCATCAGGCAACCATCATCCTCCAAGTCGTTGATAAACGTATGTATGAGGACCAGGAATGAGCGGTGGAGCGGGAAGGACCTGGAAGCACTGCTATACTGGTGCTTTCTTTTGCTTTACACTTGTAAGAGTTACTGGCATTACATTTGGGAGCTAGGAAAATTCAGTCTGAACGCTTTTGCTGTTGAGTAGCCTGTGAAATACACAGCCTCTCTGAGCCTTGTTTTCCAGGCCTGTAAGATGGGACTGTGGCTTCAATCTCCTGGGGTTGTCATAAGGATTAGAGGAGCTACCGGGGAGCAGGCAGTAGCCAACTAAGCTCTCTCCGTATATATTGATCATGGCTTCAGTTTGTGTTTTATGCCTGAATGTTATGTGTCATACAGAAAAGTGCTATGGATGATGCCTCTGTTCTAGCTTGAGGAGTGTTTTTGGTTCAGGGTAGGGCAGAAGACGCACACAGATAACTGAAATATGCATATGTCAGTAGAGAAACCTGCAGGGGAGATGGAAGGAGACATGGTTCCTCCCTTCCAGGAGCTTATATCTTACCTGGGGGATGGAAGTCTGACACACGTGGGCCAATTAGACCGTGAGGGCTCCTGATCAGGAGCCAGGTGGTCACATGACCCCCATCAGTGGAGATGGTTAGAGAAGCAGAGGGTAACACACAGGGTGGGCTTTGTGGTGGGCAGGGATCCTGGAAGCCTGGGGCAGTACAGGAACCGAGGAAAAGGGATGGGAAGCTGCTCGAGGATTTGGATCCTGCTGCCTTTGTGTGGATGATGCAGAGTGCCTGGAGAGGGGGACGCTGGGAGTTCAATTTTGATTGTGCCAAAGCCAGCTTTTTCTAAGCCTGAAGTGACCAAGGTCAGATCTGAGACACCACTGTCACCTCTTCCTGTCTGTCTGGGTTCCTGTCATTCTCTTTTGTGTTCAGCCTTTTAGGGGGAGGAGAAGGGAAGGGACAGTACCTGTGGAGTGCCTTGGGTGTCAGGCACTGAGTTGGGTGCTCTTACTCACCTTAATTCCTCTCTCCCCCAAAAGTCCCTTCAAGTTCTTCTCTCCATTTCAGACTCATCCATCCATCTAATCAACAAGTACTTACTGAGTACCTGCAAGTGCTGGATTCTGTTCTAGCTGTGAGGGTGCAGTGTGAACCGGACAGGCACATTCCTGCTGGAGGAGATTGCTCTCCTCTTTTAGTCAGTGCGCAATGAAACTAAAAAACAAAACAAAACAAAAAAGATGCCGGTAATATTAGCACTTGGTAGGCTGAGGCAGGAGGATTATGAGTCTGAGGCCAGCATGGGCTACATAGTGAGATCCTATCTCAAAAAACCCAAACAAAAACAAACAAATTATATTGTGTGAGAGAACATGGGTAGCGGAGTGGTCACCTGGTACGCACCCTGGGTTCCATTCCCAGCACCACAAAACAGAAGTGCAAACCAAAACAAACAGTAAAAGGAAAAAAGGCATGCTAAATGTTTTCTTACTAGCACACTGGTAGACCAGGTTGCTACAGATAGTAACTGTGGGGGAAAAAAAAAAAAGCAGCAAAGGAAGACAGGTGTTTGCAGGGTAGCCAGGGAAGGCCTTGCTGGGAAAAGCAACATTTGAAGAAGGTAAGACAGGGAGCTATGAGGATATCTCCCCTCCCCTCCCCTCCCCTCCCCTCTCCTTCCTTAAAGATGTCTTTTGCACAGAGAGGCAATGCAGGTTTCACACAGCAATTTGAGGGTCAAGTTGTGACCCACACCTGGCTGTTGTGAACTCCAATTCTGATTTATCCATGATCTTATGTGTGAGTGTGGGAGGCTGTGTATGGGGAGGGTGGCTGCCATGTTCCCGATTCCATGCCTGCTAGCCCTGCATTGCCCTAGTGCTGGCTCCAGGTGACCCCTTCTCTCCTCTCCCATCCTCTCCTCCCTTCTCTGGCTACACAGTGGAAAAAGTGGACAATACGGTGACGCTCATCATCCTGAGTGTGGTGGGCGGGGTCATCGGACTCCTGGTCTTCATCCTGTTGCTGAAGAAGTTCATTGCCTTCATCCTCAAGAAGACCAGAGAGAAGAAGTGAGTTGACCTCCCGTGCACGCTCCTGTGTTACAGTTGGGCGGGCCAGTAGTACCGGTTCTTATGTACGACCAGGAAAGAGTTGCCACATGTACACCCAGGTAGTAAGTCGTAAGTAGTTACCTTTATTGAAGATCACAGAAAGTTGTGCTCAGGGCTAGACCATGCCACCGAAGGTGCTGTGTAACAAAACCACTGTACAGTGGTCAAAGGTAGTAGCAGCAACAGGAAAAATAGGGAAGAGAGGACTGATACTCAGGCTTTTAGAATTGAGAGGCCACATACCTTGGCTTTAGGTGCCTCCCACGGAATCTCCCTTGGTGCCAGCGCTTCAGTGCCTGTACTCTCACCTAGGGCCTGGCTAGACTTTTGTTATTTTATTTTCTACCTCTCTTAGTGTTTTGGGAGCAGGAGTAAGCATTGGGTGCTGTTTAGAGTCAGATGGAAGGAAGGAAATGACTCCCTCAGTTCCTTTGTTTTTAACTACAGCAGCTCTGCCCTCCCAGCCCACCACTCCTCAGTTTGTGGTCCCCTCCTCCCACCGTGTGTCTGTAGTCACCCCTCTGTCCTCGGTCCACCCTGTCTTCTGAATCTCACTGCTGTCTGTGTTCTTCCTGGGACTGTGTCCCCGTCTCCCAGCCCCTCTCCTAATCTCCCTGCTTCTCCTCTCCTCCCAATAAGTAACTGTCGAATACACTGACTTCATTAGGGACATGGGTGCAGCTCACTTGCTCTTCCGTGCCAGCCCATCAGCCTTTCTCCTTCCATTTGTACCACCAGCCCTGAGGGCCTACCAAAGAGCTCAAGAAGCTTTTTAAAAATTTTAAATCAGAGAAAATACCAGTCCATGTACAGAAACTCTAAAATGGGAAGACCCTGCTAGGGAGCTAGAGATCTCTTACTATGAAATTCTGAAAATTCAAATGGGGAGATAAAAATAAAGTTTTTTAAAAAAGAGGTGCATATGGCTTTCCAAGAAGCCCTAGGCTAAGTTCTGCTATAAAAATGGCTCAGTGGTAAAGGACTTGCCTAGTAGGCTCAAGGACCCCTTCCATTCCCAGCACCTCAAAAAATAAACATCTACAAAGGAAAGGAGAAGAAGGATGGGCAGGCACAAAGAGTGCAAACCCCAGGCCCCGAGTTTCTAGAATAGTGCTGGGCAGGCTTCAAAGCAGCAGGCAGTGAGTGAGTCTTACAGCCAGGAACAGGCAGGACATGAGGTGCCTGTCAGTGGAGCAGAGGGGCGATGGCGACTCAGATGTGAAGAAAACTGCTCTGCCCCTGCTCACGGCTTCTGCTCGATGGTGGGTCCAGATGGAAAGGGCAGAAACTTCCCCATGAGAAGGGAAGGATTCGGAGAGCAAGGAGGGGTCACTAAGGGAGCAGCTCCAGGTTGAGGAGCAGTGTGGGCCCCAGGGCCTTGGCAGAGATAAGGAGCTCCAGAGGCCATGGCCTGCCAGCGCGGTGGCCAGAGGCCTTTGGCAATCATGAGAGGGACAGAGCTTGCCGCATAGCTAGTAAATGATAGAGCTAGGATATGAACTCTGACTTATTTGGCTTCAACCTTAGTAGAACCATTGCTACCATATCCTATTGACTTATTGGGTATATCTAGACTTCCTTCCTTCCTTCCTTCCTTCCTTCCTTCCTTCCTTCCTTCCTTCCTTTGGTGGCTATTTTTGAGGTACTGTGTGCAAAGCACTGTGCCAGGTGCTGGCCAGGCTTTGCTCTTTTTTTTTTTGGCATTGGGGATCGAACTCAGGACCTTGTGCTTGTGAGTCAGGCAGTGGCACCACTGAGCTAAAGCCCCAGCCCTCAGGCTTTGCTTTTAATAACCAGTCCTACCACCAGTGGTGATCAAAGCTGGAGGATAAGTTTTTCAACATATGGTTTTACATGGGTGATCCTTTGGGGCTACAGAGCATGCTGGGCTGGCTCAGTAGCGGAGTGGTTACCTGGTACGCACCCTGGGTTCCATTCCCAGCACCACAAAACAGAAGTGCAAACCAAAACAAACAGTAAAAGGAAAAAAGGCATGCTAAATGTTTTCTTACTAGCACACTGGTAGACCAGGTTGCTACAGATAGTAACTGTCTTAGCTCCTTTCTCATTGCTGAGACACAGTACCCTGACACCCACAGCTTAGAGGAGGAAAGGTGTATTTTGGTGCACAGTTTGTAGAGGCTTCAGTCTTTAGGCTGGCAACATGGTGGAGGAGAAGCAGCTCATGGCATGGTGGTAGGAAGAAGAAAGGAGATCAAGGGAGGAGGTGGTGGACAGACCCTTCCAGGCCACCTCCCCAGTGCCCCGCCTCCTCGGACAAGGCTTTACCTCCTGACACCACATACAGCACAAACTCATCAGTGAACCCACCCACTGATGGGTGACACACACTCATGATCCAGTCACTTTCCCCAGCCCCACCCCATGAGGCTTTGGGGTGACATCCAGATATAAACTATAACGATAATTCTTCCTGTCATTTACCGAATGCCCACCCCATGCTTAAGTACTCTATGAGGCATTTTAATACAATATTTCCATTTTTATTTTACAATGGAGCAAAGCGAGTCTCAGTGTAGTTAAAGGCTATTGGCTAAGATTTGAACTCGGACTGATTTGGCGTCAACCCTAAAACCATTGCCACCATAGCCTATCGACTCATTGGGCATATCTAGAGTTCATTCGTGTATTATTTGGTGGCAAGGCCCTGTGCTAGGTGCTGTGGGACAGTCTGAAAGGCATAAGTCTCTGCCTGTCATTAAAGGAGACATGATGTGTATTCTAATCCATGTAATGCAAGGGATCAGTCCCTGCAAAAAAGCATGATACAAAGCTGTGACGGGGAGGTTGAGGGGCTGATGTTCCAGGTGGGGGAAACAGAGCTAGGTAGAGGGTCTGGTCAGTGGGCATTTGTTCTGAGAACAAAGCCTCTTTGTGACAATGGGGGATGTGTGGGATAGGAAGAGAAAAAGCCCGAGAAGAGACTGGGGACAGGCCCTTGGGAACCTGGGATCCCAGGCTGCATGTGGTTTTCCTTCTGGCTGCAGAAAGCTGGTGAGGACTTGTAGTACCCTGGCATGATCATCAAGACTGCCATAGGGCACCGGGCCACATAGGTGAGGAGAGGCAAGAGGCAGGGGACAGGCCCCAGGGAAGCCTGAGGCTGTCCCTTGAGTATCATGAAAAGCCCAAATTATAGCAAAAAGCAAGAGACCCAGGCTGGTCCTGCTGTGAAGGAGAAGACAAATCGGAATCCATGCAGCCAGGATAGTCAAGATGATGTGGCTCCTGGAAGGGGCTGTCCGATCTGTCTCACCTTCCTCTTTCTCTGCCCTGGCCCTCCACCCTCTGCCCAGATGTGCCACTGGGAGGCCACATTTGCTGCCTGTGCTCTCTCTGTGACCCTCATTCTCCTACCTCCGGTCCACCAGGCCCTGGGGAGAGGAGCTTTGTCACCTCAGCCTCACCCCATGAAGCTTTGGGGTGACATCCAGATATAAACTATAACAATAATTCTTTCTGTCATTTACCGAATGCCTACCCTGTGCTTTAGGTACTCTTTGAGGCTTTCACCCTTCTCCCAGGGTGGAACAGCCTGGACCTGGCCTCTGGGAACTGTACCTAGTGCCCTGCAGCCTCTACTGTGTCGAGACAACCAGGTGGCTGCTAAGCCTTAGTGAGTCTTTTCTCCATGCCAGCACCCTTCTAAATGCCCTGACTCCTCAGAGCAACCCGATGAAGATGGTGTCATGGTGATGTATGTTTTGCAGTTGAGGAACCTGAGGTATAGAAATGTTAGGTGACTTGGTCTTTTGCTACCTTAGCTCTTAGGAGGCTGAGGAGTGGGTGCAGGGTTGGGCTCAGGGGCCATGTCTCTCTCCCCAATTCATCCCTTACTTTCCTCACCTGTGTGTTTCTCTCTCCCTCTCCAGGAAGGAGTGTCTTGTGAGTTCCTCAGGAAATGACAACACAGAGAATGGCTTGCCAGGCTCCAAGGCAGAAGAGAAGCCACCCACAAAAGTGTGAGGCCCTGCTTTGGGCCAAGCAGCACAGGGAGCCTTGCTTTCTGACCATGACACTGATGCTTGAGCCCTGTCCATAGAACTCATGTGCCTGAGACATCTTCTGCTTGGCTCAAACTGTAGTCTTTCCTGGCAGGGAGAAACTGGGGTCCTGCCTGGCCTGTCCCACCCGCTCCCCAGCCAGGCTTCCCGGGGACAAGGGCTGACAAGGGGTTGGGGCCTTTAGAAGTCAGAAGAGGAAAGGAGGGGTTGGGATGGTGTTGAGGGGCTGGTCCTCCAACACCAGGAAAATGGGGTTTACTCAGGCTCCCCATCCTGAGTGAACCCTTCCTTGGTTTTCCTTTTGTTTTCTTTGCAAGAGGGACTTAGGGGATCAGTGGGGTTTGCCTGAGAAGCTGGACCCTGGAGATGGGGTGAAGGAGGAGCCTTATGTGGAGAAGAAGACTCTTTTGATGGTGGGGAGTGTGCTAGAGGACTCTGGAGAAGACCTAGGGACAGGAGCTGCTGGAGGGGGCACACAGTGAGAGGCAATCTGGGCTTTTGAAGCTAACTGGTCACCCACAGTCCCTCAAATGAGGAGTTTCCCTTTTATGCCCTCTCCTCTGAGATTCTAAATCCTTCTCAGCTAGGCCTGGCTGCCTTGGTCTTGAAAGTTCTTTCCCACCTAGCCAACTCTTCAGTTCTCCAGGTTGCTGAGGGGCTCGTGGAGGGGCGCCTCAATCCTTTCTAGAGCACTGGAGTTCTACCTATGCCTTTCCTAGCATTTCATACTGAGGAATGGGGCTGCAGAGGTGGTTAAGCCAGTGTCCTGGGCCTCTTGGCCATTGGGATGCCTACCCCAGGCCTCCAATCCTGGCAGTCCCTCTCCTTGGCATGGCAGGACCATTGCCATCCTGAGCACTCCTGAGCCTGATTCCCTTGCTCTTTCTCTTCCCATGAAACACCAGGGAGTGTCATCTTGCTAGAGAGATTGTACCCTCTTCCCTCCTACCTCCCATGCCCTCCCATTGGCTTGCTCTTCTGGTGCCCCTCTACCACACCTTTGTCCCTGCTCCCAGGGTTGTGCATCCCCCAGCCCTGGGTTTGCCTTTGCCTCAGGGATCCTCTTCCTTGGGTGAGAGAGCCCTCAGGTTTTCTAGCTGCTTCCTGCTCAGCAGGTTCCCCTTGTGTTATTCTGAGTTTTTGGAGAAGCAGGGAGAAGGGACCCACACTTTTCCTCTGCTTGCTGCAGAACTAGTTTGCACAGTCCTTGAATGTGGGGCTGGACTGTGCCTTAGCTCCTTGAGTCCCAGCTCCTGCCCTCACTTCCTCCCTCCCTTTCCAGCCCATCTTCCCTGACCTAACTGCATAGTGATGTGGCATGGGTTCCCCAGCTTGTGGAGGAGGTCATGAAGTTGTGTTATTGATGGCCTCTTGGCCAGGGACTGAAACCTGGAGACACCTGCCCAGTGCTTCCATTTGGGATCCTGACAGGGAGATGTGAGTGTTGCCCTCATTTATTCCCATGCCCTTGCTCTCTTATGGGTTTCCTACTGGACACTGCCCTCTGGGCGCTAAGGAGGGACAGAAAGGAGGAGCCTTCTTTTCTCCCAGATGCAGCTTCAAGCGTCTCAGGATGGAAGTTGGGGGAGGCTGAGGAACAGCAACACCTGAATGTTCTCATGGCCGTGGCCATGTTCCTTGCTCAAGCTGGCAGGATTGCAAATCCCCCCTCTGATCTGCCTCCTCCGTCCTGTCCTTCGCCTCAAACCCATCCTGGGCTGGGGTTCAGAATTGCCTGGCTTTGGGAGCAGAAAGATGAGAGTCCCCAGCCATTCAGAAAACTTCTAGCTGCCTCCATGCAAAACTACTTTCTTTTCCCTTCTCAGTGTCAACAGCTGAAGAGACAGAGTTTTGTAGGGCTCCTCTTGCTCTCTTGAGAGGTCCCCAAGCTGTGTGGAACAAGAGAGGAACATGTCATCCTCTTTTCTTTCCCAGTCTACTGATAACGTAAAGACGGGCCGTGCAGTTTCTCTGCACTCAGTTTTTGCCATCTCTCCAAAAGGTGTAATAATACTTAACCTACCTCACCGGACTGTCGTGAGGCTTGGCAAGTTTTGTTTCTAATTTTGGCTTGGAAAAGCATCTGGGAAGCAGGATTTATAATTGAACAGATTGTTCCAAGTTGGTCTCATCCTTATCTCTGTATCTCACCCCTATCACACACACACACACACACACACACACACACACACACACACACACACACACTCTCTCTCTCTCTCTCTCTCTCTCTCTCTC